TGCACACTGTATAGCATGATATTGTATTTGACTTATACAGGAGTACTTCAGAAAGTTCATGAAAAGTTGGAATTGCAAAATAAGTTTGTTTTAATGCTAAATGGTTTAAATCCATGGGTAGTTTTTTTTCATTATGTATGTTTTCCATAAGCTTTTTGAAGACTTCTTGCATATTGTTAGAAAGTTTTAACTGGTTTTCTTTTAAGTAGCTCTCTGGAGTTCCCATGAAGAAATACAGATTTATTTTCTTGCTGTTGCTTCTAATGTGGGGCTTTTCTAAATAATTATTGGCGGAACTCATTTTTACATACACTTTTCATACAGTCTGAATTAATTTTACTGATAGTCTCGGAAATGAAATCACTGAGGTATAAATTTGTTGACACCGTACTTGTTTATTTTTAATGGCCACATAAATTTGTAATTGAAAGGATGGTTCTTGCTTTGTTGAGCAAAATTATTTCCTCTGTTAGAGTCTGTCAATCAGTGAGCAAGAAGCTCTGGGAATTGTGTGTACCCAGACCTTCTCAAGCACAATGATAAATGCAAAAAAATGGATAAAAGGCAAGTGCTCTTCCTTCCCTGGGCTGTTATTGTACCAAAAGAGAAGACTGCAGCCAATACCCCCATGAGGCTGAGGTTGAGATGCCAGTTGTAATTTCTGAAACAGTTTAGTGCTGGAGAAGTTTTCTTAAAGGAAGTGAATTTGAGTAAGATGATGTCTTGAGTCAAATTTAAGCACAAAGAATACGTCTGGTGAATTTTCCTTACCTGTCTTATTTTTCCTGAAGATGTAGGGATGACTTTCAGTTTTCAAATATTAATCGGGACCAAATTTGTGGTGACAGCAAAGATTTATAATTGGTACATTGCTCCTTGAATTCTTGTTCATTTTAATTCTAAGATTAACTTCTGTAAAGAGCCCTGTTGGAATAGAAATCCTTTCAAAAACATTGCCTCTCCATCCTTTAATATGAAAAGTATGAATTTTTATTAGTTTTGACTGAATTACAGTTTATTTTTGCTGGAGACTAAACACAGTTTCGTAATCATGCGTGCTTTGCCTTTTGCCAATGGGTGATGGATGTGTCATTGCACAGACTCAGTTCGTCATGCGGACCTGCTTTCCCCTGACAAAACGGGGTGTTGCTGAGGCAGAGCTGGAAGTTGGAACAGATTCCTGTTCCTCCAGCAGTCTCACCTGTGTGGCAGCAATGCACGCTGGTGGCTTGGCCACATCTCCACCCATGCATTAAGTTTTGGCCTGTGCTCTTCAGATCCTCGGGGATTTGTAGGGCAGCCAGACAGGAGAAGGCTTTGGTTATGATGGGTGCAATGGCTTCTCACAACGACAATCCAAGTCTGTTCTCAAAGCAGGGTGACAGAAGAACCTCAAGAGTTGGTTTTCCTGAAAAAAAGCTTTGGCTTTGGGACTTGAGAATGAGGCAAGGTCCACGCTGAGGGAAGGACTCAGATGGAAGCAATGTTGGATGAGTGCTGGGGACCCCCAGGAATGGCATCCCGACTTCCACATGAAAGGAGGACTCCCCAGTTAAATATGCCTTGACAATAGGATGTTAGGTTTTCTGTTTTTTTTTTTTTTAAAGATTTATTTTTATTATTTTTTCATTGGAAAGGCGGATATACAGAGAGGAGAGACAGAGAGGAAGATCTTCCATCCGATGATTCACTCCCCAAGTGAGCGCAACGGGCCGATACTATGCCGATCCGAAGCCAGGAGCCTCTTCCGGGTCTCCCACGCGGGTGCAGGTTCCCAAAGCTTTGGGCCGTCCTCGACTGCTTTCCCAGGCCACAAGCAGGGAGCTGGAAGGGAAGCGGGGCTGCCGGGATTAGAACCGGCGCCCATATGGGATCAAGGCAAGGACCTTTAACCACTTGCGCCACCGCGCCGGGCCCGGTTTTCTGTTTTTTGTCCACATCTACAATGCCATGATACATTTAAACAGCAGAATGTTAAGCTTGTAACTGTTACTAAAGAATTACATCTCTGTAATAATATAAAGGTAAAATGTTGGGAGAGGAAAATGGTGGTGGAGAAAGGGAAGGAAAATGGAGGGAATCCCTATACCTACAAAACTGTATCATGGAAAGTAATAGAACTAATTTGAAAAGTACATGAAAGGGGGACCCAGAGGTCTTAAGAGGAGTGTTGGTGTGGAGGCTCCCTTGGCGCCTCACTATGGTCCAGGCCTCTTTCATTCTCTGGGTTTCAAGTTTCTGGCTAGGGGTTTTTCATCTCTAATGCCAAGCAAAGCACCGTGACACATTTTTCGTATAGGAATTAGTGAGGCTTAGAGCACAGACGTGTGAGTCATCAAAGTGCTCATTGGAGACTTTAAGACCGTCTTGTTTCATAGTCATGGTGTTTCTGTGCGCTTTTGTCCGGTCTTGCTGCCAAAAAGCTGTCTGGGGATGATTAAGTGACCCAATCGCTTATCTCTTGCAAAAGAGGAATAACAAGGGACAGAGTTATTGCCGTAAAAACCCTCCAAATACACAGAAGTCCAAAATTGCTCACCTTGGGTGTTTTCAACAACTATTTAATAATTGAAAATCTTTAGGATAAGGTGCTTAAATATTTAACCTGGGTTTTGATTTTTCCTTATTTAAAAAGTACCTCATTTTTTGGCAAACATTTTAATTACAATACACAGCAGGGTTAGCAAGTGTATTACTAGAAGCTTTCTGAAGATCATTTGAACATTTATTTTTTATTTTTTTGAGTCTAATGGAAATTTTTGTTTTTTTTTTAGATTTTGGCCACTTTTGGGCTTTGGTGGTGCCTGCATTTCCCATTACGATGGAAAACGTTTTTGTCTCCTGGTTCCCATTAAACAACCCCATGGGAACTTGTAAATAAATGAATACTTGTTTTGCTACAAGTGTTTTGAAGCTGAAAAGGCTCTTCTGCATTTTGCTTTTTCAATTGAATCCATGTTCCTTGGGAGTCAGTGTGAAAAAAAAAAAAGCACTGGAGACTTCTGGGAGATGAAGCCAGGCACACCCAAATGAAGAAGACTGACCCAGTTTATGCTGATCATTCCACTCATTTGATATTTTCTTTTGCATCCTGGGTTTGTTCAGGGTGACAGCAGCCTGGGAGGATCCATCAAGTCCCTAGGAATAGACGATGGAGGACTGTTTCCCATCACAGGAGACTGTGGCATCCGGGCGATTATAGCAGGGGAAAGGGGGCCAAGAGTAAAGAGTACTTCAGAAAAATATCTGCCTGACCCTTGTGGATGGCTTGGTTATGGGGCAGGGGAAGTGGCAAAATTCAAAGCTTTTCTTTCTCAAATGCCCTCCTTAGCTCATGGAAGTTGTTTATGTGCAGAGAGGAAGTTCCGTCTCTCTTTTCACACTTCTTTTCCTCTTTACTGATCCTTGCTTCTTAAGACAGGACAAAGAAGTGAGTGCCAGCCCCAGCAAGGATGACTTCAGTGACCAGATGATGAGTCACTGGGCGTGGCCGTCTGTTGCACAATCTAAGAAGTGAAGTTGGGAACATATTAAATAAATACCTCCACTTCCCAGCTGCTCGATGTGTGTGCATCTTAAGGCTGTGGAGGAGGACGGCCACGTTGGTATTTACATTCTTATTCAGAATAGGATGTGATTTTTCTTCCCTGCCAAAGGGTGGGGCATGGAGGGGGTGAATAAACAGACCAATAGACCCATTTGTTCATTCTGACACATCATCGTACCATTTTTCATATAGCATTGGATTTAAAAAAAATAGAGTTACAAAACATATATGTTTATCATAAAAATTGCTAATACAGTGTCTGTACTGTGGCAAATAGAGATGTCAGTTATCTGTTCTAGAAGCATTCCGGTCCCACTTCAGGCATTTGCACAAGTACATGCATATCCTTGTGTTAGTGCTTGGCTTTGATTTTTTTGCACTAACAGAAAATGGTTTTGTTTGTAACTGTGCAGATACTTTATGAACCCATTTGTTTTGTTTTATTGGAACAATGCTATCAGGCAAGCAAATGTCATGTGCTTCCTCCATGCAATTCGGAAGGCATGATGATATCTCCCGTCGTTTCTTCCCTCCCTCACTCTTCCTCCCTCACACTCCCTCCTCCTCCTCGTTTTCTTTTGAATTTTGCAATGACATACTTTCAGTTCACTTCATCACAAGCTTAACCTTAAACTAAAGAGTTCAACCAGTAGGAAGTAGGAAAGCCACTGTTTCTCAGGAGTGAAGATGAGGGCTCTATGCGAGAATTTAATCTGAAAGCAGCAGTTTTGCTCATAGGCATTGCTTGCTGGATTAGATTTAAAATTTAAGATCTTGCTGCAAAGATTTAAAATTCCTCTTTTTTATTATTCTGACTTTTCAAAGCCTTGGGATATTTCTGTGATCAGACAGAAACCACTCTCAGTCAACTCTGCAGTAAGCACAGACTGCGTTTGAATGTTTAGCAGGTTCAAATCCCAGCTTCCCTTACTAGGCTCGTGATCTTGGGTTGTTCCCTCAGTTTCCCCATCTCTAAACTGGGGAGGAAGAAAGAGTGCTTGCTGTGTTGGTGTGAGGATCTGAATCGTGGCAGTTAGGTCACCCAGCACCTGGTACCTTTGTGGTGAACTGATTTGGCCTTTGGGAATGAAGCTGAAATACAGAGCGGCTCTGCCTCCTTTATTTCTGCAAGATAGAACTGGTAGCAATATCTGGTTCCAGATCTTCTTTGTTTTAGGATGCTGTTTCAATTACATGGAAACTGTATTAGGTCTGTGTAGCCATTATCTGTTTTGCGGGGGACCTTCACATTTACTGTTGATTAACTTTTGGGCTTTGGGACATGTGGAGATATTTGTAGTAGGACCTGCAAGTAGGGATTGATGATGTTCTTATAGGTATGTTCTTATGACAGTCTGAAGTTAAGAGTGAACATGCGACGTGCATGTGTGTTACACACACACACGGAATCTGAAGACTGCTGCCTGATCATCCCTTGCCTGTTTCTCCGCAGGGATTCACTGTGAACTGTACAAGGATCCCTGTGCCAACATCAGCTGTCTGAATGGAGGCACCTGTGACAGTGAAGGCTTGAACGGCACGTGCGTCTGCCCACCTGGCTTTACAGGCAAGTGGTCTGGGGGCTGAATTTTCAGCTTTATCACATCCCTGAGATTTCAGAAGTGAACCTGAAATAATTACAAGCTAACAACATAATTTGCAAAGTGTAAGGAGGCATTGCTAGGGTGCGGATCTATTTTGACGTAGACTTTGGAATCCCATGGGTGTTTATACTTGCGTCACCACCATTGCTGGTTGTTTCCAAGGCTGAAAGGAAGGATCAAGTGCATCCTCTGCGGACTCTCCATCTGAGCTGCTGTGCTGAATTTTATTGAGAGCATAAACGTGATGGGATTTTGAAAACAGGTGGTGGTGGGAAGTAAGGGTGACACTCCAGGTTGGAGATCAACTATGAGTGTGGACTTAAGCCCTACAGAAGTGTGCAGGGATAGTGGGGTGGAGAGAGAGGCTAGAAGACCTGGCTCTGGGGTGCACAGGAACCTTGGGGGTTCCTAGACACCGAGCAGGAGTCAGTTGAAGGTAAGGAGATCCAATCCAACCTGAGGTTCTTCTTAGTCGCCCCTTCAGGGCCTGCAGGGACTCTGTGAAGTTTCCATCAGGTTCCCGGAAGGAAGTCTGTACCATTGCAGTGGTTTGTTATTCCAGCAGGATGCAGGAGTCATGATGTTTGGAGAGCTGGATAAAGTGTGTTTTCTGAGCTTCACTCCCAACAGTGTAAATGTCATTCTGGTTTGTACACTGGCGTGCCTGATCTTCTAGAACCAGGTGGGCTCTTAGGCTGCAGGCCGCTGCATGCCCTCCAGGCATTTCATGGAGACTGGTTCCTTCACCCATCCTGGGGTGTCTCCTGTGTGCCTTGGGGAAGCCGCAACAACCAAGAGGTGGGAGAAGCAGCACTGACCCTGCCTTCCATACAGGATCTTTAGAAAGTTCCTGGAAGATGCATATCCTGAAAAAAGTCTGCACAGATTCAAAACTTTCTTGCCCCTCAAAATAAACCTACCTTTTCATTCCATTTTCCACAAGTTTTTTGAAGTCTACTCATGTTTTTCAGTGTTACATCCTAGGTTTTCTGATTTGGATTTTTTTTTCCTGGGGTTGAAAAGTGAGATTGTGTCACAGAAAGCTTCTTGGATGGTTCTGTTTTGCTGAATGGTTACAAACCCACAGATACCTACTTGTCGTTTCTCAGAGACAAAAATAATATTGGAAATGCATCGTGTTTTTTCCCAAATATCCTTATCCATGAGTAATAAAAATAGGGGATAAAAATTTAAAAATACAGGGTTATCAAGATAAAAAACATAGCAATTAAAATTGCACTACTAGAACATAATATTTTGATACATTTTTTGATATCTGGTGATTTTCCTGTAGGGGTGTGTATGTGTGTGTGAAGTTACTGCTATTTATTGGAATATACAAAGAATCATATCGTTTATACTATTATAAATTACTTTTTGCTTAAAATATATACATGTAATGAATGTGTTTCCACACCATGATGTGGAAAGCAAAAATGCTTCTGCGTTTTCATTTTTCCCGGCTGCCTGTAGCCCATGATATGAAATCTCATGATTGTTTCAGTTCCTCTGCAACCGAGAACTTTTCCTGGTTTGAAACAACGTTGTAAGGCATATCTTTGTGTACATTTTTGTACTCATACTATTTCTCAGGGTCAGAGTCGGAGGCATCGAGAGAACCCTATGCCTTTCCTTAGTATTCTCTGTGGAAACCCGGGGACACCCTTCACTCCCGTCATGGTACGGAGCAGTACCAGTGTCACCGACTGGGGCAGGCCTGTGATTCCGGGGAGAGTGGAAGCTTTCAAATATGTTTCTGGTTATTTGTGTTTCTTTTTCTTTTAACAAAAATGTGTGCATATTTGAAAGGCACAGTGACACACACACACACACACACACGGGAGCAGGGGGAGAGAAAGAGAGAGACAGACTGACTTTCTTTCCACTGATTCACTCACCAAATATCAGCACTGGGATGGCTAGGGCTGGGTCCTGCTAAAGTCAGGAGCCCAGAACTCCTTCCAGTTATCTCGCTTGGGTGCAGGAGCTCAATGATTTGGGTCATCTCCTGGTGGTTTTTCATATGCCTTGGCAAGAATATGGAAGTGGAGCAACCAGGACTTGAACCAGTGCCCATATGGGATGTCAGCATTGAAGGTGATGGCTTAACTTGCTGGACCACGACACTGGCTGCATATTTTAATTTTTTTTCACTGTATCTTGACCTTTTATTCAGGTTTCTTTGTTTCATTCTAAGAAGTTTTTCTAATCAGAGTTTATATTCTCGTCTATGATTTGAATTATGTGGAAATTAAATTTTGTCATTTAAATCTCTACTCCATTTGAAATGTACTTTGGTATCTTATGGGAGAGAAAAAGTAATCTTTTTCCAGGATATATGTCAACTCTGTGACGGATGACTCAGCGTGCACCCAGGGAAGTCTCAGAGCCATTTCAAACCCCGAAGTGTTTTCTCCTTCCTAAAATATTTTCTCACTCATCACACAGCAGTACTTCACTCCAGGCTGCTGTGGCCACAAACTGGGCAGTCATTTTGAGTCCTTCCTCCTCTTATCCCCTCGTTGTCTTCAGCTACTAAGGACTCCTAACGGCCTCCTGTTTAGTTTTAATATATATGGGGTACAATGTGGTCATTCCACACATGAATATAATCTAAAACTGGATTAATTAGCATTTTTATCCCTTAAACTCTTTTTTAAAGATTTATTTATTTTTGTTGGAAAAGCAGATTTACTGGGAGAAGGAGAGACAGATCTTTAATCCACTGGTTCATTCCCAAAGTGGCCACAATGGCTGGAGCTGAGCTGATCCGAACCCAGGAGCCAGGAGCTTCTTCCAGGTCTCCCACATGGGTGCAGAGTCTAATAACCTCATCTTCTGTTGCTTTCCCAGGCCATTGGCAGGTAACTGGATGAGAAGTGGAGCATCCGGGACACGGCCTGGAGCCCATTATGGGGTCCCAGTACATGCAAGGAGAGGATTTAGCCATTGAGCCACCGTGTTTCAGCCCAAACATTTTAAAAATGTTTTTGATTAACACTTAAGAGTTGCACATAATTATGGGGTACAGTTGATATTTCAGTAGGTATATACAATGTATCTCAATAAATGTATACAAAGATATCCTATAATGACAATCTTATCATTCCCTATCTAGACATCTCCTGTTGACATTTCATTGTAAGAAAAACATGAAAGCACTTTCCTATTTTTATTTTTATTCGTAAAAAGAGGACAGCTTTCATGTGTTACATGTATGTATGTGTTACATAGATACAATTATAGGACTACGCAGCCCCTCCTGTCCTCTCTCAACCTCCCTTCTTCCATCCTATTTTTTGTTAAAATTTTTAGCAACATAATTTCAAATTTTTTTTTATTTTCAAAGATTTATTTATTTAGTTGAAAGGCAGAGTCATGGGCAGGAGATGGGGTGGTGGTGAGGGGAGAGAAAGAGAGATGTATTTTATATGCTGGTTCACTCCCCAAATGATTCCAAATGTCAAGGTTGAGCCAGGCTGAAGACATGGAACTCCATCTTCTCAGGGGTTCAGGGGCCAAAGACTTGGGTCATCTCCCACTGCTCTCCCAGGTGCATTAGCAGGGAGCTGAATCAGAAATGGAACAACTGGAACTTGAACCAGTACCCACATGGGATGCCGGTGCCACAGGCTGCAGCTTTACCCAGTACACCACAGTGCCAGCCCCCCATTTATTTTATCGTCACAACCTTAATGGGGCACACTCTCTGATGGGCCTCTGGGTCTTTGCAATTCTTCCCCTTAGAATTATCTGGCTGAGGGCCAGCGGGTGGAAAGGATGGACCTCCTGACCAGATGCTAATTGCCAGGAGCCGCTGCACTTCCTACCTGGCACTGTGAATGGACTTGAGATCATTGTGTACCACGGGGAGAACAGTAAGCCCTTGAGATCCCCTAACACTGTCCCTTTAACAGCAGGGACTTGAATGCTGCAGTCCTTTCTCACGGGCGTGATTAAAAGCGGAAAGTGATTCAGTTCCTTTGCAAAATTCCATTGAAATTTTAGTATACATCACTTGGTGTTGACTTTCTTTCATGTGGTTTTTAGCTATTCACATGTTGCATTTGCAAAATGTCTTTTCGAATCATTTCTCTACTTAAAATAGTTATGTGTCATATTATTGACGAGTGATAATTCTTCATATATTCTGGATAGAATCCTTTGTTAGAGATATACATTCTGCCTGTGCATGAATTTTACGAGTGTTTTATTTTGATAATGCCTAACATCAATTTTTCTTTTATAGTTTGCAATTTTTGGTAGCAAAAAGTCAACACTTAAAGATGGTGGAATTTTATAGTGTTTTTACAATAATTTTTTTTGCTTCTACTTTAGATGTAGGACCTGTTTTGAATTAGTTTTTATATACATTGTGAATTGAAGCTGGAGATTCATATTTTGCATATTAATATCCAGTTAGTCCTGTAAATTACTAAAAATATGTACAACCTTTTCACTGTTGAATTCCATTGGCTCATTTGTTAGAAAAACAATGGACTATCTATGTGCCTAGTTTCCTCTGGTTATGTTTTTGAACTTGTTATTCTGAGATAATTAAAATTGTTGGAAGAAACAAGAGAGCCCCAGTGTAACCTTTGTACCCAGCTTCTTCCAATGACAACATATTGTGAAACTGTGGCACAATATCAGAACCAAGACACTGACATGGGTAGAACCAAAGTCCAGAATGTTTTCATCATTACGAAGAATGTTGCATGCTGCTTTTTTTACAGCAACACCCATCGCCCGCCCAGCACAACCTCTCTTTAACCTTTGAGAACCACTGAATGCTCTACATTTTTGCAACTTTGTGCCTTTTTAAAGGGGTGTGTTATATAAGTGGATTCATATAGCGTGTAGACTTTGGAGATTGGGCCTTGTTCACTCTGCTTTATTCTTTGGAAGAGGTTATCGGAGTTACCTCCGGCGTCCTCCGTCTTCGTTCCTGAACGTTGTTCTG